CTGAATACCCTCAGATTCCTGAATACCCTCAGATTCCTGAATACCCTCAGATTCCTGAATACCCTCAGATGCTTCAATACCCTCAGATGCCTCAATACCCTCAGATGCCTCAATACCCTCAGATGCCTCAATACCCTCAGATGCCTCAATACCCTCAGGTTCCTCAATACCCTCAGGTTCCTCAATACCCTCAGATTCCTCAATACCCTCAATACCCTCAGGTTCCTCAATACCCTAAGATGCCCGAGAAAACAACAGCAACGACCACACGGCCTAAAACTGCAAAGGCGACTCAAATTCCTAAAATTCCTGCACTGCCTCAGATTCCTGAATACCCTCAGATGCCTCAATACCCTCAGATTCTTCAATACCCTCAGATTCTTCAATACCCTCAGATTCCTCAATACCCTCAGATTCCTCAATACCCTCAGATTCCTCAATACCCTCAGATTCCTCAATACCCTCAGATTCCTCAATACCCTCAGATTCCTGAATACCCTCAGATTCCTGAATACCCTCAGATTCCTGAATGCCCTCAGATGTCCGAGACAACGACAACACGGCCTAGAACTGCAAAGGTGACTACAATTCCTATATAATTAGCCGATGCCTGAATACCCTAAGATGCCGGAGACAACAGCAACGACCACAAAGCCTAAAACTGCAAAGGCGACTCAAATTCCTAAAATTCCTGCACTGCCTCAGATACCTCAAAACCCTCGGATGCCTCAAATACTCAGATGACTCAATACGCTCAAATGCCGTTTCCACAATATATGCCGATGTATCCTCCCTTAATCCTCTTTATCCTCCCAAATATCCAGCTACAAAGCCAAAACCTACTGCGGCGACAACACCAACTACAACTAAACCAAAGGCTACAAATCCCTCATTGCAGCTTCCACCATCTATGCCTTACTATCATCTTTACCCTATGATCCCTCCCTATCCCCAATATCCAGCCACTCAGCCGACAACCACTCCAACTACCACTGTGAAACCAGATCACCCCGCCCACTCCGGCACCCCGTCCTCCTTTTCATCCCCATGTTCACTTGCCATACCAATGCTGCCTCCTTTTCCTCCTCCACGCTACCTTACTTAAACAGTTGTAATAAAAGTTTTGAACAGAGATGCTTTCCAGTTTGTGCTTTTGTTAACCTTCAAGTACCCAAGAGACTCTTTATTCCAGGCTCTTCAAGAAGTCTCATTTGGTTTGTGACTGAGTGAACAGTCCATATTGAGAAAATGACATTTAATTTAAACAGAAAAATTGTGCTTAAACTTAAAGTGCACACTTTAAATTCCTACATTTATAAATGTAATTAATGTTTAGCATTTGAAGTGTTGTCATAGTGTGGCTTTGTGTCCACATGGTGGCATCATTGCTCAACCATTTCTTAGGTTTTGAATTGGAACATTTTGTGTTCACACTAGCTTTCCTTGTGTGAACAAGCTTTAAAATGGTTGTTTTTTGAAAACGTATTTCAGTCAAAGGTAAAGTTCCATCATGTCCTTTCCTAAAATAAGTAACATCTGCTGTGTGAGGGACGCTGGCTTCACTCATTACATACACCAACTCTGAAATGGAGCATTTACAACTTTGGGCAGTTCTGCAAAACATTGAACCTTCAGCATTTGTCTCTTTTTGGTTTTGTAAACTGGCGTAAGCATTACTAAATATTTGGTCAAACACTAGGTCATAAGTGTTCAAACTACACATGTAGATGTTATATTATAAAAGTAGCCTTTATACAACTAAAAATGACTTCACAGGTGAGATCCTTAACCATTCAAGTGAAATTTCAACAATGATAGAAGCAAAACCTTTTATCATACAGGGTGTCCTTAACACCTGTGTATTGTTTCTTTCAAATTATGGATCTAACCATGAAATGACATCTCTGGTCCAAGTCAGGCTGGGACACTGACCATCCCGTTACCGTCTGATTGACTTTCCTTGATGTGAAGAGATGTTGTCTTCTAAATAAGGGAAAGCATTATTATTAGGGCCGGGACTTTAACGCGTTAATTAAGATGAATTAATTACACAAAAATTAACGCATTTTAATCGCACTTATTTTTGCACCGCGGAACGTTTCTCACTGGATGAGTTTCAGGCGTACCGATTATACTGGAGCACCAACTAACGTTCATGACTTCAGACAACAACAAACCACAGTGAACAACAGTGGGAAATGTTGTTTTAAAAAACGGACGGATGGAAGCGTCGATAAGAGCACGGTTGTGTGCAAATTATGCAAAAAGGAATTCGCATATCACCGCAGCACATCAAGCCTCAAGTATCACCTCAATGCAAAACATATAGCAGCTAGCGTGGACGTTAGCCTATTTTATCGCGTTCACACCAAAAAGAGCCGGTACTAAAATTAGTTCACCCCACGAAAGTCCCTGCTAGAGAGCAGGGACTTTCGTACGGCTCTCTTGTGAGAAGAGAGCTATATGTCTGATTGGCTGGGCGGATTGCAAACCACGCCCGTAAAACTCCCAAAAAGTGTTGTGAAGCCGCCATTGTCGCCATATCCTCGCATTAGCATTATTAGCATTAGCCCAGCGCAGAAACGCAGAGAGACTAACTTATGGCAACACAAAATAAAACATGGGAGCGGTGGAGATGAGGAGGTGTCGGCGTTCTGGCGATTTACTCGGAAGGCTTCAGTAGAAGCTGCTGGGACTCCCAGCAGCTTCTACTGAAGCCAGTCCCCAACTCCGGGGACTTCCGGCCGGGGACTTTGGGCGGCAGTATACGCCGTGAAGTGGTTTGCGGCCTGCCAGTAAACCCAAAGCAGAAGAAGAAGAAGTGACGTCAGCGTCTTCATTTGCCTAATCCACCCCCAGGTTCAAAGAGTTCTCATGAACTAAGTTCTCATGAACCTTTGTGGGAAAAGTACTGCGGTGTGAATGCGCCTAATGGTATACTAAAATCCATGTGAAAAAAATTGCTTCTCACTGTTCTCAGGTCAAATATTTATATGTGATTAAAAATGCGATTAATTTCGATTAATTAATTACAAAGCCTCTAATTAATTAGATTCATTTTTTTAATCGAGTCCCGGCCCTAATTATTATACATATAATTGTGGGTCAATGTAGATTAACAAATCAAAATAGTCAGACTCTTCCCTTGCATTCATTGGTTTATTCGAAATCAAACCGTATGATACATTACACAAAATTATGAAGAACCAAGAATCGGGGGATATTTTTATTTGAACTCTGAAAGGACTTAATGGGCTTTGCATTCTCAAGCTTGTGCAAAGTTGTTTGTATACTTTTGAATACAACTTGTATACCGCTTCGTGAATAAAGATTTGGGGGAAATAATTAATTTCTCGTTTTTTTCCCCTTTCCTGTCAAGTTGGGGAAAATAACAATGGGGAATGTCTTCTATTAAGAATACTTGAGGTGAGAACATATTTTAAATACAATAGGTTAGCCATTGAGGATGTGTACACATTATTGGTATATTTCCATGTTTTCTTTCCATTCTCTTTGGCTGTTCTTGTTTTTTATCAACACAACTCTCTAATCTACATTTAAAGTATTGGAGCAATATAGAAAATATGTTTTTCTATTTTATAAGTGTCCTAATTACATCATATGAGTTGTATTTAGTCTACTGTTGTGTAAACATGATAGTAATTGTTAAGAAGCTTATCGTACAAATAATTTTATATTGAAAGATATTTTCCCTCTTAAGTAGGCTAAGTCAAAGAAAACCCTGAAATGTGAGCAGAGTTGTGTTACTTCTATGAAATGTTTGGCCATCAACAAGTATATTAGCCATTCCCAAATAAATACTGTATTGTTATGTCTCTATCATTCTTGTGACTTATTTTGCTTCAGCTGCTGCTGGTAGTCCCTAAAACCAACCAAGGTGTTTGCGAGACAGCGTATACAGAGGCTTTTTGTATTTGGAAGAACACTTTTTGTCATCTCTGTAGGTTGAACAGTTTGTATATCGAGCCTTCTCAGCGGTAGCCCCCAGGCTCTGGATCGACCTGCCCCCCCATGTCAAATTGTCGCCCACCCTCCAAACTTTGAAGTCTCGCCTAAAGACCCACCTCTTTTCCCTCGCTTTTGAGTCAGTCTGAGCTATGTTTTATCGATTTGTATGCTTTTATTATGTCCATAGCCTTTATGTACCGTGTATTCATTCCTATGTGTGCTTTTTATCCTTTTATCTTTTCTCATGTGTGCCTTTCATCTATTATTGTAATATTATATTTTATTATAATGTTATATTATTATAATGTTATGTTTGGTGTGAAGCACTTTTGTAAACCCTCTTTTTTTAATATGTGCTATACAAATAAAGTGGATTGGATTGGATTTGTAATAGTTGGTATGCCTTTGAAACCAACCGTGCTAGTGAACTGCGAGCGCCGGAACCTCACAGCGGCGGAGAAACTGGAGCAATTACACCAATAGCGCCTCTTAAGCGCATAAAGGTGCGCCGCCTTTGCGCTTCAATGCCATGCGATCTACCCACACTACCTTTGCGATCGACGTATTGGGCACCCCCGATCTACAAGATCAATATACAGGGCTTACTTTGTAGACGTTAGACAAGTCTTAACGAGGCCCACCTGTTGCAAGCTAATTGAACACAGGTGCAAGCATTAGCTGAGGCTGCACCTGCCTTGTTGATTGGCTGCCTGGTGGTAATAAGTGCCAGTATTAAAAGCCCTGTCTCATGCTTCATTGCCAAGTGCTCTCCACCTGCAGTGAGTTTGATTTCCGCGTGTCTGCACGCTCACAGTGATCTCCCGAGACGGTTCAGTGCAACGTTAGCAGGAAGAGTAAGTGAAAATACGATTGGCTTCATTCCGCGGCGGGGCTTCAACCGACAGCATAACAACGGGATACGGCCCGGAGCACGCCGTTTGGGCTCCTCCCACCCGGTGCTGTGATCTGGTGCGGCGAGTGTTCTGATGGCAACAGCGGCTGGAGTGAACAGGACTGCTGAGGTGCCGAAAATGGAAGGAGGAAGGGCAAGTGATAAAGCGAACGAAGGGAAGGACAACGACAAAGAAGAACAAGGCAAGAAAGCGGGAGAGGAAGGAAAAGAGGGGCAGAGGGAGAAAGCAAGGTACAGTGTGGAATTAACTGTGGAAGTAGTAGTGGAAGGTGCACTGTCTATGATGGACATGCTAAAAGGGATACAGAAACAGTGCGGGACAGTGGATGGATGTAGAGTGACGGGGGAACAATATGAAGTGACGATGAGGACAATCCTGGGGAAAATGAAACTAATGGAGGGGCTGAGAGTGAACGGAGTCGCGGTACATGCAAAAAACATCATGAGCACTGATGTGACCGTCTCGTTCCTGCATCTGCCAGTGTACTTGCTGGATAAAACGTTACTAAATAGGCTTGAGGAGTGGGGAGTTAAGCCCATCTCGGACATTAAAAAAAAGAGTGTGGCCAGACTCGGACATTGCAGACGGCACCAGGTTCCTTAGAGTGAGATTCAACAATAAGGTCCGCTCCCTGCCGTACTCCACGAAGTTCGACACGGTGAAGGGTGCGGAATACTTCCGGGTCCTGCACAATGGCCAGGTTCCAGTGTGCAGGTTATGCATAAAGCCGGGTCATATCTTTAGAGAATGCCCAGACTTTAAGTGCCACAGGTGTAATGAGCAAGGGCATTATGCCAAGGAGTGCAGGTATGGAGCTGAGAGAGCGGAGAGAGAGAGGAAAGAGAGAAAGGAGGAAGATGACAAGGAGGGAGAAGAGGAGGAAAACGACGAGGAGGAAAACGACGAGGAGGAAAACGACAAGGAGGAAAACGACAAGGAGGAAGACGAGGAGGAAGACGAGGAGGAAGACGACGAGGCAGAGGGGGCAAAGAAAAGACTCCATGATGAGATAAGCAGCGAAGATGAAGGTCCAGTGGTGGACGACATCTCGGGGGCTTCGGTGATGGAGGAGAAATCACCAAAGGTGGGAAAAGCAAAAAAAGTGCCAGGAAGGGCGGCGGAGGCGCCGACGGAAGCAGCAGAGGTGCCGAAGGGAGCAGCAGAGGTGCCGACGGGAGCAGTAGAGGTGCCGAAGGGAGCAGCGGCGGGGGAAAGAAGGTTCGGGGTCCTGTAGAGGTGGAAGACGCCTCGGAGGCTTCCGGAATGGAGGAGGGAGAGCTGTCGGAGGACCCTGGGGGCAGCAAGGTCTTCGGGAGCCCAAACGAGAAGCAGAAGGGCCAGGGCAAGAGGAGAAGCAGGTGCGAGGAGGAGAAGAAGACCTCAGCGGAGAACGCCGGGCTGATTGCTAGACGCAAAGCGGACAAGGCGAGGGAGGTGGAGAAAAGGAGAGCGGGTTCGAAAGAGGGGGAGCTCGGGAAAGAAACAAGGAAAAGGTAATGATGCAAAGGACGTGTATAATAATAACATTCCTTTTGATGGCAACGATCGGAAACGGTCTAAAAAGTAAGCTCAGAAGAAGCCGGGCGCTAAGTCTGTGTGAGGCCAGCATTATATGTCTGCAGGAAACACATTGGGATGGGGAGAGTGTGGATGAGGTTACAAGGGAGTGGAAGGGAGAAGTGTTTGCAAATAATGGGAGTGAGCATGCTAGAGGGGTGGCGATACTAATCAATTCGGGGGATGTGAAGAATGTAAGGAAGGTTGAGGATGATGGTGAAGGGAGGATGATTGGGGTGCAGTCGACAAAAAGTGGAGAGACCATGGCAGAAATGTATGTGGGGGAAGGGGATGCTCGTGTTAAAATGGAGAAAGTCAACACGAGGGTGATTTACAAAATGCTGAGGGGTGGTAAAATAAGAAGACCTGCTTCTGAGCGTGTGTGGGGAAATGTTTGTGAAAAGTTTGATGGGCGGAAGGTATGGGGTAATTTAAGGGTGAAATGGAACAGCATTGAATGTGAGCATTTTGATTTTATGTTTCGTCACAATAGGGTGTACAACAATTTGATCAAAAGCAGGTTTAATATCACGGTGAAGAAAGAGTGTGATGTGTGTAAGGTAATGGTGGAAACGTGTATGCATGAATTTTTTGAATGTGGAGAACTGAAGGTGTATTTTGAACGGTTGAAAGGGCTAATTGAAAAGTGTTGGGGGGATAGAATATTAAAAACGTTGGAATGGAATGAGTTGTGGCTGTTTGGGGTGAGGGGGGGGAGTGAAAGGTCCCAATGTGAATCTCTGTAACTATGTGCTGAGCCATGCCCGGTATGCTGTAAAACTTAGAGACTTGGCCCATAATGGGAACAGAAAGGTAGACGCATGGGACGTATTTAAGAGGATTTTAAGCAAGGACGTTCAGATGGCATATGTGTACCTAGAAAAGGACGCTTTTCTGGAGAGCTTTGTGGATGGGTGCACTCTGGTGGAGGTTGGTGACAATGACAGACTGGTGTTTAAGTATGACAGTGTTGGAAAACATGTGTAGGGTGAAACGTGAAAAACGTAAAGTATGTTTTATATAAATGATTGCCGGTTTGCTGTGTTTTGTTTCTCGTATTCTGTTTTTGTATTATCATTTACTATGATGTTCAAGTAAGATCCAATGGTTTTTTGGCAATCTTTTTTTTGGCTAATTGCATTCAGTTTATTTCTTTTATTTTGTCATGTTATGCATGACTATTATGTTTGATTGTTTTAAATGCAGGGCCACCGTGAAACCACATGTGCAAATTGTAAATATTGAATTATGAATTTTCTAATAAAAAAAGACAAAAAAAAAAAAAAAGTGAGTTTGATTTTACAGAATGGGAATCCTATGAGCACCTATCACAGCTGTATTGGTTGTCACAGCACCTGCTGATGCTCAAATAGTTGCGGCAAAGAAAGTTATCTCATCTCCTCACATTACCAGCAGTCATGTGCAACAGGATGATACGCAAGAGAAAAGGCACTGGTGTTTACCTGGCTGCAGCTGTTATTCTGACGTGTTATTTTGCGCAAACTATAGACTGTTATCGTCTGAAGAAAACAGAAAGACGAGAAGGGAGAAAAGATGCCGATACAACAAATGGGTTCCAAGAGGGGACAATTGTTTTCGGGAGAGCTTTTGAAAAAGGGTCAGGACTTGATTTTCAAGTCACAGGCGGGACCAAGAAGTCATCCTCAAACGCTTATGTGGAGGATGAGGGTGATTATCAAGCAGACTCTGCAGGTAAAAATGTTTTTGATTTACGTATTGAAGGGTTTGTTATTTTGCTTGAATTGTTTTGCTTCTCTTTAAAGTATACAAACTATTGAGAAAAAAAAAAAAAATTATATTGGCCTTCAGGCTGGATGAGCCCAACACAAGTCGCCAGTCCCAAAGACTCGTCATGGAAGAGCATGTCGCCCTCACTGCAGTGTGGTTCGGGCAAGTTGAAGTTCAGAGCGGTGGAACCAGGAGCATCACAATTTGCGGTAGAACAAGGTAAATCAATAGCCATAATATCCTAAATGTAGACTTGATTTATCTCTACCAATGATATAAAACTGAACTTTTTTACCCCACAGGAAATGCACCTCCAATGCCTCTGTCACAGGTCCCGTCTACCTGTGGCTACAGCATGCAGAGGAACTCGCATGCACTTGAAATGTTGGTTCCCTATGATGGTTGCAACATGGTTCAAGAGGTAATGTGAAACTGATTTAAAGAGTGAGGAAGTGAGTTTAAAAAACGATGGCTAGTGCTGTGAATTGTTATAGTTATGAATGGTGTAACGAGAGCCAAATCAAATGTTTAATCTGCATCATATTGGTCTCAAGCGAAAATGTGTTTTCAGCTTTTTAAATGTGAGTTGTTTTTTGCTTGTTTTCAAATGTACTGATTAACTACGTTTTTTGGATGGGGACCGACATTCAAAAATGTTGCATCATGATGATCTATTTAGAAAATATAGTATGAGATTAATCTTTTGCCTTGTACAGTCGGATTGTAACATTGACAGGTCTGTGTGATTCCTTGCTGTTTCTAATTGTATGTTTTTCTCCCAAAGGGTGTAAGTTATGTACTCCCGATGCGTTGGCAAGGAATTCCAGTCTCTCTCTGGTGTTCCAAACCTGCCGCAACTCCTGCTGCAACTCCTGCTTCCAAAACGAATTCCCCCCATTCCCCTGTTCCTCGGATGCCTCAATACCCTCGGATGCCTCAATACTCTCGGATGCCCGAGAAAACAACAGCAACAACCACATGGCCTATAACTGCAAAGGCGACTCAAATTCCTCAATACCCTCAGATTCCTCAATACCCTCAGATGCCTCAATACCCTCAGATGCCTCAAAACCCTCAGATGCCTCAAAACCCTCAGATGCCTCAAAACCCTAAGATGCCGGAGACAACAACAGCAACAACCACATGGCCTATAACTGCAAAGGCGACTCAAATTCCTCAATACCCTCAGATTCCTCAATACCCTCAGATGCCTCAATACCCTCAGATGCCTCAAAACCCTCAGATGCCTCAAAACCCTAAGATGCCGGAGACAACAACAGCAACGACCACACGGCCTATAACTGCAAAGGCAACTCAAATTCCTCAATACCCTAAGATGCCGGAGACAACAACAGCAACGACCACACGGCCTATAACTGCAAAGGCAACTCAGATTCCTCAATACCCTCAGATACCTCAATACCCTCAGATTCTTGAATACCCTCAGATTCCTGAATACCCTCAGATTCCTGAATACCCTCAGATGCCTCAATACCCTCAGATGCCTCAATACCCTCAGATGCCTCAATACCCTCAGATGCCTCAATACCCTAAGATGCCCGAGAAAACAACAGCAACGACCACACGGCCTATAACTGCAAAGGCGACTCAAATTCCTAAAATTCCTGCACTGCCTCAGATTCCTGAATACCCTCAGATTCTTGAATACTCTCAGATTCCTGAATACCCTCAGATTCCTGAATACCCTCAGATTCCTGAATACCCTCAGATTCCTGAATACCCTCAGATTCCTCAATACCCTCAGATTCCTCAATACCCTCAGATTCCTCAATACCCTCAGATGCCTCAATACCCTCAGATGCCTCAATACCCTCAGATGCCTCAATACCCTCAGATTCCTGAATGCCCTCAGATTCCTGAATGCCCTCAGATGCCTCAAAACCCTAAGATGTCCGAGACAACGACCACACGGCCTACAACTGCAAAGGTGACTACAATTCCTATATAATTATCCGATGCCTGAATACCCTAAGATGCCGGAGACAACAACAGCAACGACCACAAAGCCTAAAACTGCAAAGGCGACTCAAATTCCTAAAATTCCTGCACTGCCTCGGATGACTCAATACGCTCAGATGCCGTTTCCACAATATATGCCGATGTATCCTCCCTTAATCCTCTTTATCCTCCCAAATATCCAGCTACAAAGCCAAAACCTACTGCGGCGACAACACCAACTACAACTAAACCAAAGGCTACAAATCCCTCATTGCAGCTTCCACCATCTATGCCTTACTATCATCTTTACCCATATGATTCCTCCCTATCCCCAATATCCAGCCACTCAGCCGACAACCACTCCAACTACCACTGTGAAACCAGATCACCCGCCCACTCCGGCACCCCGTCCTCCTTTTCATCCCCATGTTCACTTGCCATACCAATGCTGCCTCCTTTTCCTCCTCCATGCTACCTTACTTAAACAGTTCTAATAAAAGTTTTGAACAGAGACGCTTTCCAGTTTGTGCTTTTGTTAACCTTCAAGTACCCAAGAGACTCTTTATTCCAGGCTCTTCAAGAAGTCTCATTTGGTTTGTGAATGAGTGAACAGTCCATATTGAGAAAATGACATTTAATTTAAACAGGAAAATTGTGCTTAAACTTAAAGTGCACACTTTAAATTCCTACATTTATAAATGTAATTAATGTTTAGCATTTGAAGTGTTGTCATAGTGTGGCTTTGTGTCCACATGGTGGCATCATTGCTCACCATTTCTTAGGTTTTGAATTGGAACATTTTGTGTTCACACTAGCTTTCCTTGTGTGAACAATGGTTGTTTTTTTGAAAACGTATTTCAGTCAAAGGTAAAGTTCCATCATGTCCTTTCCTAAAATAAGTAACATCTGCTGTGTGAGGGACGCTGGCTTCACTCATTACATACACCAACTCTGAAATGGAGCATTTACAACTTTGGGCAGTTCTGCAAAAACATTGAACCTTAAGCATTTGTCTCTTTTTGGTTTTGTAAACTGGAGTAAGCAATACTAAATATTTGGTCAAACACTAGGTCATAAGTGTTCAAACTACACATGTAGGCCTACAGTTGCAAGAAAAAGTATGTGAACCCTTTGGAATTACCTGGATTTCTGCATAAATTGGTCTGAGGAAGCCACGGCTGTCCACGTTTGAAGTTTGCAAAAGAGCACCTGGATGTTCCACAGCACTACTGGCAAAATATTCTGTGGACAGATGAAACCAAAGTTGAGTTGTTTGGAAGGAACACACAACGTTATGTGTGGAGAAAAAAAGGCACAGCACACCAACATCAAAACCTCATCCCAACTGTGAAGTATGGTGGAGGGAGCATCATGGTTTGGGGGCTGCTTTGCTGCCTCAGGGCCTGGACAGATTGCCATCATCGACGGAAAAATGAATTCTCAAGTTTATCAAGACATTTTGCTGGAGAACTTAAGGCCATCTGTCCACCAATTGAAGCTCAACAGAAGATGGGTGATGCAACAGGACAACGACCCAAAGCACAGAAGTAAATCAACAACAGAATGGCTTCAACAGAAGAAAATACGCCTTCTGGAGTGGACCAGTCAGAGTCCTGACCTCAACCCAATTGAGATGCTGTGGCATGACCTCAAGAGAGCGATTCACACCAGACATCCCAAGAATATTGCTGAACTGAAAATAGTTTTGTAAAGAGGAATGGTCCAAAATTCCTCCTGACCGTTGTGCAGGTCTGATATGCAACTATAGGAAACGTTTGGTTGAGGTTATTGCTGCCAAAGGAGGGTCAACCAGTTATTAAATCCAAGGGTTCACATACGTTTTCCACCCTGCACTGTGAATGTTTACATGGTGTGTTCAATAAAAACATGAAAACATATTGTTTGTGTGGTTTTAGCTTAAGCAGACTGTGTTTGTCTATTGTTGTGACTTAGATGAAGATCAGAACACATTTTATGACCAATTTATGCAGAAATCCAGGTAGTTCCAAAGGGTTCACATACTTTTTCTTGCAACTGTAGATGTTATATTATAAAAGTAGCCTTCATACAACTAAAAATGACTTCACAGGTGAGATCCTTAACCATTCAAGTGAAATTTAAACAATGATAGAAGCAAAACCTTTTATCATACAGGGTGTCCTTAACACCTGTGTATTGTTTCTTTCAAATTATGGATCTAACCATGAAACGACATCTCTGGTCCAAGTCAGGCTGGGACACTGACCATCCCGTTACCGTCTGATTGACTTTCCTTGATGTGAAGATAAATATGTTGTCTTTTAAATAAGGGAAAGCATTGTTATACATATAATTGTGGGTCAATGTAGATTAACAAATCAAAATAGTCAGACTCTACCCTTGCATTCATTGGTTTATCGAAATCAAACCGTATGATACATTACACAAAATTATGAAGAACCAAGAATCGGGGGATATTTTTATTTGAACTCTGAAAGGACTTAATGGGCTTTGCATTCTCAAGCTTGTGCAAAGTTGTTTGTATACTTTTGAATACAACTTGTATACCGCTTCGTGAATAAAGATTTGGGGGAAATAATTAATTTCTCGTTTTTTCCCCTTTCCTGTCAAGTTGGGGAAAATAACAATGGGGAATGTCTTCTATTAAGAATACTTGAGGTGAGAACATCTTTTAAATACAATAGGTTAGCCATTGAGGATGTGTACACATTCTTGGTATATTTCCATGTTTTCTTTCCATTCTCTTTGGCTGTTCTTGTGTTTTATCAACACAACCCTCTAATCTACATTTAAAGTATTGGAGCAATATAGAAAATATGTTTTTCTATTTTATAAGTGTCCTAATTACATCATATGAGTTGTATTTAGTCTACTGTTGTGTAAACATGATAGTAATTGTTAAGAAGCTTATCGTAAAAATAATTTTATATTGAAAGATATTTCCCTCTTAAGTAGGCTAAGTCAAAGAAAACCCTGAAATGTGAGCAGAGTTGTGTTACTTCTATGAAATGTTTGGCCATCAACAAGTATATTAGCCATTCCCAAATAAATACTGTATTGTTATGTCTCTATCATTCTTGTGACTTAATTTTGCTTCAGCTGCTGCTGGTAGTCCCTAAAACCAACCAAGGTGTTTGCGAGACAGCGTATACAGAGGCTTTTTGTATTTGGAAGAACACTTTTTGTCATCTATGTAGGTTGAACAGTTTGTATATCGAGCCTTCTCAGCGGTAGCCCCCAGGCTCTGGATCGACCTGCCACCCCATGTCAAATTGTCGCCCACCCTCCAAACTTTGAAGTCTCGCCTAAAGACCCACCTCTTTTCCCTCGCTTTTGAGTCAGTCTGAGCTATGTTTTATCGATTTGTATGCTTTTATTATGTCCATAGCCTTTATGTACCGTGTATTAATTCTTATGTGTGCTTTTTATCCTTTTATCTTTTCTCATGTGTGCCTTTCATCTATTATTGTAATATTATATTTTATTATAATGTTATATTATTATAATGTTATGTTTGGTGTGAAGCACTTTTGTAAACCCTATTTTTTTAATATGTGCGATACAAATAAAGTGGATTGGATTGGATTTGTAATAGTTGGTATGCCTTTGAAACCAACGGTGCTAGTGAACTGCGAGCGCCGGAACCTGACAGCGGCGGAGAAACTGGAGCGATTACACCAATAGCGCCTCTTAAGTGCATAAACGTGCGCCGTATTTGCGCTTCAATGCCATGCGATCTACCCACACTACCTTTGCGATCGACGTATTGGGCACCCCCGATCTACAAGATCAATATACAGGGCTTACTTTGTAGACGTTAGACAAGTCTTAACGAGGCCCACCTGTTGCAAGCTAATTGAACACAGGTGCAAGCATTAGCTGAGGCTGCACCTGCCTTGTTGATTGGCTGCCTGGTGGTAATATGTGCCAGTATTAAAAGCCCTGTCTCATGCTTCATTGCCAAGTGCTCTCTACCCGCAGTGAGTTTCATTTTACAGAATGGGAATCCTATGAGCACCTATCACAGCTGTATTGGTTGTCACAGCACCTGCTGATGCTCAAATAGTTGCGGCAAAGAAAGTTATCTCATCTCCTCACATTACCAGCAGTCATGTGCAACAGGATGATACGCAAGAGAAAAGGCACTGGTGTTTACCTGGCTGCAGCTGTTATTCTGACGTGTTATTTTGCGCAAACTATAGACTGTTATCGTCTGAAGAAAACAGAAAGACGAGAAGGGAGAAAAGATGCCGATACAACAAATGGGTTCCAAGAGGGGACAATTGTTTTCGGGAGAGCTTTTGAAAAAGGGTCAGGATTTGATTTTCAAGTCACAGGCGGGACCAAGAAGTCATCCCCAAACGCTTATGTGGAGGATGAGGGTGATTATCAAAGCAGACTCTGCAGGTAAAATGTTTTGATTTACGTATTGAAGGGTTTGTTATTTTGCTTGAATTGTTTTGCTTCTCTTTAAAGTATACAAACTATTGAAAAAAAAATAAATATATATTATATTGGCCTTCAGGCTGGATGAGCCCAACACAAGTCGCCAGTCCCAAAGACTCGTCATGGAAGAGCATGTCGCCCTCACTGCAGTGTGGTTCGGGCAAATTGAAGTTCAGAGCGGTGGAACCAGGAGCATCACAATTTGCGGTAGAACAAGGTAAATCAATAGCCATAATATCCTAAATGTAGACTTGATTTATCTCTACCAATGATATAAAACTGAACTTTTTTACCCCACAGGAAATGCACCTCCAATGCCTCTGTCACAGGTCCCGTCTACCTGTGGCTACAGCATGCAGAGGAACTCGCATGCACTTGAAATGTTGGTTCCCTATGATGGCTGCAACATGGTTCAAGAGGTAATGTGAAACTGATTTAAAGAGTGAGGAAGTGAGTTTAAAAAAACGATGGCTAGTGCTGTGAATTGTTATAGTCATGAATGGTGTAACGAGAGCCAAATCAAATGTTTAATCTGCATCATATTGGTCTCAAGCGAAAATGTGTTTTCAGCTGTTCAAATGCGAGTTGTTTTTTGCTTGCTTTCAGATGTAGTGATTAACTATGTTTTTTGGATGGGAACCGACATTCAAATATGTTGCATCATATTTAGAAAATATAGCATGAGATTAATCTTTTGCCTTGTACAGTCGGATTGTAAAATTGACAGGTCTGTGTGATTCCTTGCTGTTTCTAATTGTATGTTTTTCTCCCAAAGGGTGGAAGTTATGTACTCCCGATGCGTT